GGCAGCAAGGATTCAACCTGCTTTTGGAAAAGGGGGAGCAGGAAGCATTTCTCCCAATGGCAGCAGTGGCTGGATCCAGGTGCTCCCAGGCACCGACTCCTGCACGCTGCCTTCCTCTGGCCCCACGCCTCCCACAAACGCGCCGGGGAGAACGGGGGTTCTCCATAGCAACTAGGAGAGAGGCGCCCACTCAGGTGAGCCTCCAAGTCTCCCAGAAGGGACGCAATGTGCTCCCGAAGGGCAAGGCAACACTCCAGCAGAGAAGGACTGTGCAAGGCAGAGCTGGGGACGCAGCTCTGGCCTTCTGGAGCCATCTCGTGGCCATGGGAGCACAAACATGGCCCCAGCAGAGCTACAGAGCAACAGCCCAACAGCCAGCAAAGTAAAGAGGAGGAGGTGTTGCTCAGCAGACAGCCACTCTGCTTCTCAACGGCTTCCAGCGCCAGGGACACCCAGAGAGGGCTCTGGAGCTTCCACGTGGAAGAAGGCCAAGATCACGGTGTCCTTCCTCTGTCACCCTCGGTGGCTCCGGCACTACCCTCAGCATGAGGCCAGGATGGGCAGCTGGAATGCCATTTCCCTAGATAAACCTCTTCCAAGGTCGGAGACCCTGCCCCAGCTGCCACGTGCCCAGGGCTGTGATCCACGTGCTGATAAGGGCTGCCGGTTCCTCGGACCCCAGGAAGCTCACTATTTCTCCATCAGGATGGAGCATCCGACTGCAGAGGTGGTGCTGGCTTTCCCCAGCACCCAGTCCCTCCCCAGGAAGGTCTCCCACACCCAGGGAGAGCACAGGCCTGGGAACATCTCCTCCCTTCAGGAGCTGCTGGCTGCCGAGGCCAGCACGGAGGAATCCAGGACCAGATGCACTCGAAAATCCACATTCCCGGACGCTGGGCTCCCGGCCCCACCTCCAGCGATGCAGCAGGACCCACCTTTCACGGAGAGCTGGGACTTCTCGCAGGGCAGCCCTGCCCTGGCCCTGCTGGAACTCGCAGAGGCCATGGCATCACCGACGGGCTGGAAAGCAGAGAGACATGAGACACCTCAGCACCTCCGCCATCGAAGGGAGGAAGTCGAGGCTGCGTGGGGCCCCAGGGTCAGGGCTGCTCCGGGCCTCGCTGTGGCCCACGTATTAGGATGAGCGACACAGACGGCACGGGGTTCAGCGATGAACAGCGGCGGCCCATGCTGGGAGGTGCCGCACCGAGAAGGTTTGCAGATGCCCTCGGTGCTGCCTGTTGCTCACAGGGCAGCGGGAGGGGGCCAGTTCCTCCCGGGCGCATCCAAAGGCTTTGCTGCCACGTCAGCGCCACACCGACTCCAGCTCAGAAGGCCTCGCAGACCGCCTGGGACACCCTTGGCACACATGCAAATAGCTAATAAACACACGTTGCCTCTCGCTCCTGTTAAACGTTAACTGTGTACCACAGATGGAAGTAAAGCTGTGCCCTGCAGAGAGAAACCCCTCTCTCAACAGCACCCACGAGGCCTCAAGAGAGCCGGGCCAGCCAGGGGGAGCCCTTGGGGACAGCACCCCACAGGTGCTCTCTGGGCACTGCATTGGAGCAGCTCTAGCTCCCCACGATCCAAAGGTCATTGCTGATCACGACCAGCACGAAGACAGAGCAGTCTCCAAAGCACTAGGAAGATATGACGTCCACCCCGTGCTGCTGAGTAACAATACGGGTCCACAAGCAGTCTGCGTGGCCTCAGCCAATGCATCCTTTGGAAGGAACAAGTCAGGAACACTGCGGTAGAAGAGAGGAAGCTCCGGTCACACTATGGGAAAGTAGCCACATCCCTTGAGGACAGGCCAGGTCATTTCCTGGTGGCAAAATTTCACAGAAAAAAAAACCTGCAGCGCAGCAGCTAAGCGATGGGAACCACAGCTGCTCTCAACTGCTGCAAAGGATCACGCTGCAGCACAGGAAACTGGGGCCTCCAGCTTCTCAAGCACTCACCACTTCCTCACTTTCTCGGGCACAATGACTGTCACTGCAGCCGCAGCACTTCACCCTGCCCCTGCACCACCTGCGCACCTCGCCTCCGAGACGCCTGCCCGGGGCTGGGAGCGGGCAGTGCGTGGCTGGGCAGGAAGGGGACTTGGGATGGCCAGGGACGCAGCAGAACACGTGGCTGCGCCTCTGCCGAAACAACCGACAACAAGGCAGAAGTACAGTCATGCAGCACGCACAAGCACGAGTTGTTTGGTTTGGGCCCAACAGAGTAGGCTATTGATTCCCACCATCTTCCTGAGCCTGCAGACAGCAGTCATCCTTTACGCACTTCACAGGCGGAAGAGCTAGAAGGGACCTGCTGAATCCAGACTAACACAATCCTGTGGCAGAGAAGCGGCGCCTGCAGTAAATTCCAAGGTCACAGACCACAGGGGCCTGCCCACGTAAACACCCGACACAACAGGACGGATGGAGGCGCTCGCTGGTTATTCCCCGGGCAGATGTGAACACAAGAGTCTCAATTCTGTTGCCTGGGGCAGCAGTGAGAGCTCAGACTGAGTCAAACCCGATCGCCCTCCCAACCCTGCGAAGCCGAAAGCACGCCTCCTGACCAGCTCTGGATTCGAGTCCCCGCCAGCCTCTCCATCCTACCTCCACCCTGATGATCACGAGCCCTCAGGAAAAAGTACAAAAAGGGGAAAGACAGCACATTTCCACTTCCAGCTCTCTGCCAGCTTCTCTGCTGCACAGGAGTCTTTCCTTCCCCGTCCACTCCGCGCCCAGCCATCGCCCCCTCCACGTTGCAAAGGCTCTCCAAGCGTTGCCTTCCTGCTGGAGAAACCACCACAGCACAACCCACAACCCCTTGGGGCTAGCGGAGTCGGCCAGGCCACCAAACCCAGGCCCTTGCTCTACCTTAGCAGGCTCCACCTCAAAGCCCGACCAGTCCCTTTTAAACCTCCTTTTGTAGTAGAACCGAGTCGTCACTCTCCATCCCCTTCTGTGTGCCACCCCAGCAGGAAATCGCCTTCCTGAGCACGGCAAACCAGAACGGCACACCGTACGCCAGCTGAGGCCTCGCCAGGGCCTTGCACAGTCCCCGTTTCTGCCTGGGAAAGCTCTGATATCAGACTTGCCGCTTTCTTGGCTCTGTCAGATTGGTGGGTCAAGGCTTGCTAATGCATGCCTGTCCCTTCCCCCTCACTCCCAACGGATAAGAATTTACTTGTGGAAGGAGGTCTTTTTATGAAGCTAATTGCATTTGCTATTATTACAGTTATTCCTACTCCAATTACTCTGCCCACAGATCACCCTGTCCTTCCCTTAGGATATCGTTATTCCTCGTGTTTGCTGCGAGTCCCCACCTCTGCATTACCAGCTTATTTCATTAGTGCCGTTCGCAAGGACCACAAAAACCAGCCAGACTCACGTGCCCTTCCCAAACAGCCACCGCCTGCAACCAGATACGGGGCTAGAGGGACCTGCGAGCCTGCCCTGTAGGGCATTTCTTACATTAATATTAGCGGTCTGGCCCTCAAAGTTACTATTACCCAGGGCTCATTCCCCTCTAGCAGAAATCTGGATCCCCATTCCTCCCCCCATAAACACAGGCCCTGTTTCTGCTCTCCCCCCCCCACCCCACGCCAGCCCGTCCCGGCGCCAGCTCGCCCCGCGCTGCACT